ATATATATATATATATATAATTTATTTTAATATAATTATTGAAAAATGTAAAGAAAAAAATAAGAATATATATATATATAAATCTAATTTATTTTAATATAATATAATCAGTGAAAATATTAAGAAAATTTAATAATAATTAATAATTATATATGTGTGTGTGTGTGTGTGTGTGTGTGAGAGAGGAATGAATTAACCAAAAAAGGTGATTTAAAACGGGTACAGCTTTATTTGTTTATTGTGTTTAATTAGATGTAAAGCTGGATACTATTTCTTTTTACATATTTCCATCTTTATACATTGAATTAATGTAATTCAAAAAAACTTATTTCTGTATGTTACTTATGCATTTGAGTTGGAAACCATTTAAATAAATCACAAAATTCAATCTGATTTTATTTACTCTTTTATTTTTATTTTCATAGTAAAAAGTCGGACTCAATCCTTAATAAAAATGCAATCCTGTCTGGATTGTATTAGTAGTCCAGAACTCAAATCATTCAGCTATTTGTACAGTCAGAAATACTGAGTCAGATGTCGAGTGGTGAAGTCTCTGAAGTCTCCCAATGAAAGAAGTAAAAGTAAAACACCTGAAATCATGTACATCTGTGACCTCGGTCCTGTAACGTACCAGCACTGCTGAGGAGCTTCTATTCTGCACTGCAGTCAGAATTCATATTCATCAGCGAGGCTCTGGACGATTATCAGTCTATGAAATGATGAAATGTCTCAGTGCATTTGATCTCCGTCTGTCCGAAAACAAACGCTGTCCAAACGCTGCTTTCCCGTCTCTCTGTCTCGATGGATTCACAGCTGCATTGAAAAACAAAAGAGAAGTTGATGTGCAAGTCACTGCTAATAGTTTGATGTGTATTAAAGGCCGTTCACACTGACAGTGATCATGAGTACCACTGGTTGCATGATATATCAAAATAAAATTGATTTTGAAATAAGGATTAATGCAACAGTCAAATTGTGTCCATTTACATTTATTCATTTAGCCAAAGAAGAACCAAAGCCGACAATAATCCTTATATACAATGCTAAATTATTTATTAGACAACTAGATTTACCCACATGCATGCATTTTCCAACGTACAGTTGTATTATTTTTATTACTCATTTTTTATTTTAAAATAATAGCATTATTGCAATAGGTTTCTTATTTTAATATTTTTATAATAATCACAAAGAGATTTGATTTTGTTTCAACATTTTTTTTTTAATATTTTTTTTTTATATTTTAAACACCTTTTTAACTTTTAATTTTCTTCTTAAAGTTATTTTTATTCTCTATGCAGATGCACTCACAAAGAAATTTGCCTATCTCATTCTAGAATTATTAATTCTTTCCAAATATAGCTATTTAAAAATCAATATTGTCAATATTGTAAGTCAAACTAAAAATCCTGTATTTTTCATATCACAAATAATGCAGAAAAACTCAAATTCCTGTATTTTTCATATCGCAAATACTGCAGAAAAACGAAAATTCCTGTATTTTTTCATATCGCAAATACTGCAGAAAAGCAAAAGTTCCTGTATTTTTTCATATCACAAATACTGCAGAAAAACAAAAAATCCCGTATTTTTTCATATCGCAAATACTGCAGAAAAACAAAAGTTCCTCTATTTTTCATATTGCAAATAGCAGAAAAACAAAAATTCCTGTATTTTTTCATATCGCAAATATTGCAGAAAAACAAAAATTCCTGTATTTTTCATATCGCAAATACTGCAGAAAAACAAAAATTCCTGTATTTTTTCATATCGCAAATACTGCAGAAAAGCAAAAAATCCTGTATTTTTTCATATCGCAAATACTGCAGAAAAGCAAAAATTCCTGTATTTTTTCATATCGCAAATACTGCAGAAAAACAAAAATTCCTGTATTTTTTCATATCACAAATATTGCAGAAAAACAAAAATTCCTGTATTGTTTCATATCGCAAATATTGCAGAAAAGCAAAAATTCCTGTATTTTTTCATATCGCAAATACAAGCAGAAAAGCAAAAATTCTTGTATTTTTTCATATCGCAAATACTGCAGAAAAACAAAAATTCCTGTATTTTTTTCATATCGCAAATACAGCAGAAAGCAAAAATCCTGTATTTTTCATATCGCAAATACAGCAGAAAAGCAAAAATTCCTGTATTTTTCATATCGCAAATATTGCAGAAAAGCAAAAATTCCTATATTTTTTCATATCGTAAATACGGCAGAAAAACTATAAATCCTGTATTTTTCATATCACAAATATTGTAGAAAAACAAAAAATCCTGTATTTTTCATATCGCAAATACTGCAGAAAAGCAAAAATTCCTGTATTTTTTCATATCGCAAATACCGCAGAAAAACGATAACTCCTGTGTTTTCATATCGTAAATACTGCAGAAAAACGATCAATTCTGTATTTTCATATCGCAAATATAGTACAAAAACAAAAATTCCTGTATTTTTGCATATCACAATGCCAGTTTTTTTTACAATATCGTGCAACCTTAGTTTCTGCTCAGTGTAATATAAAGTCGTCTGATGCATCATCAAAAATCGCTCGCACATCGTCAGCTGTCACTGCAAATAAAAGACTTCCTTTTGCTTTGATGCTGTGAATCGCTGTCAGTGTGAACGCATCTTTGCATGGAATCGCATAGCTCATTCAATCTACATGAATAAGTTCGCTGCTTGATTTCACAGCATTTATGCAACTGTTTATCAGCATTTCAACTCGTTTATCTCAAAAAGCATTTACATTTTTGTCAAAACTTGACACAAATAAGACTCGACACACAGGATCTTCAACATGCATTGCAGTGCATGTGATTCGCAGGGGAACGGATGGTTATTTTCAATATAAAGTGCATGCATCGCATGTGTGACATGACAATGACGTCAACTCATTCCTCAGTGAGCATCAGTAATGCAAAACCATTGCTTCAGCCTCAAAAGGACGATATTGCAGCTTAAGCAACAGACATTTTTTTTTGATAAACTAAAACAACTAAAAAAGAGCTTTACTAAAAACATGAACTGCATGTAAATGCATGTAGATTTCCACTGTAAATGCATTACTGTGAACGCGCTTCAGCACATTCAGACTCCCTGAGGATGAGGTTACTGTCACATTAAGCTCAGAATAACCCCGAATATTGATCACCAGGAGGACCCTTGAAGCCCAACACACACATGCAGCGCGACACAAAGGGATTCTCTGACAGAAACATTCAGACCAGCGTCAGTCTCAAGCGTTATCAGGAAACACACAGTTACTTACTGATCTGAAGCGTTTGATTCAGACCAGAGTTGAGAGGCCTAACAGACCTGAAGTCTTGCTCTGGTAAAACAAACACGTCAGACGAAACTAACGTTAGATAAACTACAAGAGGAAGAAACGGTGCAGAACCAGCTACACGTCTAAACACTTTGCTTAAATCACTAAGCATGAACGACAGTAATAGTGATGCTTGACACAAAATATTTAGGCCTAAATATTTATGTATTTGAATTGCATATAAAATTTCCATTAATTTGGATTACACAGTTTTAACATAAACGTATAAATTGAATGTGATGCATATTTGTCAGTCATACAGAAATGAAACTGGTCAGATTATTGAATAAATAAGCAAATAAATAAATAAAATCATGGCATAGATTATTATGAACTCTTTGAATCTATTTAATTTGTTTAAATCATTTAATTTGATTTATTTTTAATTATTAATAAATTAATAAATTATTATTAAATAATATTAAACCTTGAATAATAAACAATATAATAATAACAAGCAAAAGTGAATTAACATTAATATATAATTAAAAATAAATTAAAGAAGAAACTGAAAGAATAAAAAAATGTGGTTAAAGAGAAATAAAGAAAATAACAAATAAAGGGAGAAAGGTAACAAAAAAATAAATTCAGGACTAAATGTAATTTAAAAAAAAAATTGTATTTGTTTTAGCAAGTCATTTATTTCCCTATTATATTTATTTATCCCTTCCTTCCTTTAATTCCCTATTAATTCCTTCCTTCCTTAATTTATTTCCCTATTATTCATTCATTTGTTTATTCATTTATTCCTTCTTTTATTCCTTAATTTTTAACTTCTGCAGGTTTGGTCCTCCATACAAACCTGTTCATTGTGAAAACAACTAAATTTATTAAAATAAAAAGTATGCACATGGTTAAAAAAATATGTTTCGCTGTAGAGCAAAATGTTTCAGATTCAAACACACTGGATTTATTGATTGATAAATATATAAAGGTCAAGGTAGTATTTATTGTCTCCCTTTTTTTCATTTGTTTTAGATAAAAGAACTGCTGCAACATCAACACAGAACAAGCCTATAACATACAACATCAACAACCGTCCTAATCCTATAATCCTACATCATCAAAACAATCCCATTTAAATCATATTAACACATGCGAAGAGTCCAGTGAAATCTTGTTGGCCTGCTGGATCGTACACAACTCAAAAATGTCTTGTAAAGAACTGAGTGTGTCTGTATCTCCTTTATTTTTCCCGCCACTCTCATTCAGCTCCCAAACCAAGCAATAATTCCATATCTTAAGACAGACTCTATCGTTGCTTTTTAAATAATTAGCATTGATATGCATCACATGAAGTTTATTATTTGTTAAAACTGTGTAATCTGAATGGATAGAAATAGTTTTTTCTCTCGATGTAAGGGAGGATCTTTTATATTATTTCAGTAATCTTTCTTGAGCGTGTGTGTTCGCTCAGTGAGACTCTCACCGCTGTGATGAACTCCTGCTCTTTGTGGTAGAGGACGGAGGACGTGACGTTAGGAGGAGACGGGGACGGTGTGGACCGATACGAGCCTCTGTCGCTGGTGTAGCTCTCCATCACTAGCGCAGGATGATGCTGGATGCTCACGCAGTCACTGGAGGTGCACTGAGACGAGCTGTCAGCGCCGTCACTCACTGCAGACGCACAACACTTCCTTACTCAGCAATGCAGAATTGAATCATAACACCTAGTCCTATCATGCAAACATATATATACACATATATACAGATATTATTTGTTCATTTATAAAAAAACAATGATGCTTTTATTCAGTAAGGATGCATTACATTTATCAAAAGTGACAGTAATTTATTTATTTACAGTAATTTACTTTCTTAATTAATTTTTTTTAAATTAATACTTTTATGCAATAAGGACACATTAAATTGATCAAAAGTGGCAGCATGTTTTTTATTTACAGTAATTAACTTTCTTAATGTATTTATTTAAAAAAATAATACTTTTATCCAATGAGGACACATTACATTTATTAAAAGTGGCAGCATTTTTTAAATTTATAGTAATTAACTTTATTAATTAATTAATTAATTAATTAATAAAAAATATTAATACTTTTATGCAATAAGGACGCATTAAATTGATCAAAAGTGGCAGCATGTTTTTTTATTTACAGTAATTAACTTTATTAATTAATTACTTAATTAAAAATATTTATTCAGTAAGAATGCATTCATTAAATTGATCAAAAGTGACAGCAATTTGTTTATTTACAGTAATTTACTTTCTTAATTTATTTATTTAAAAAATAATACTTTTATCCAATGAGGACACATTAAATTTATTAAAAGTGACAGCATTTTTTTATTTACAGTAATTAACTTCATTAATTAATTAATTAAAAATATTAATACTTTTATTCAGCAAGGATGCATTAAATTGATCAAAAGTGACAGCAATTTGTTTATTTACAGTAATTTACTTTCTTAATTTATTTATTTAAAAAATAATACTTTTATCCAATAAGAACACTTTAAATTGATCAAAAGTGACAGCAATTCACTATATAAAGATTTACTTTATTAATTAATTAATTTGTTTATTAAAAATATTAATACTTTTATTCAGTAAGGACGCATTAAATTGATCAAAAGTGGCAGCACATTAAATTGATCAAAACAGCCAGCAATTTGTTTATTTACAGTAATTTACTTTCTTAATTTATTTATTTAAAAAATAATACTTTTATCCAATAAGAACACTTTAAATTGATCAAAAGTGACAGCAATTCACTATATAAAGATTTACTTTATTAATTAATTAATTTGTTTATTAAAAATATTAATACTTTTATTCAGCAAGGACACATTAAACTGATTAAAAGTGACAGCAATTTGTTTGTTTACAATAATTAACTTACATTTTTTATTAAAAAAATTAATACTTTTATTCAATAAGGACACATTTAATTGATCAAAAGTGGCAGCATTTATTTATTTACAGTAATTAACTTAATTAATTAAAAATATTAATACTTTTATTCAGCAAGGACGCATTAAACTGATTAAAAGTGACAGTAGTTTGCTTATTTACAGTAATTTATATTATTTGTTAATTTATTAAAAAAATATTAAAACTTTTATACAGCAAGGACGCATTAAATTGATCAACAGTGACAGTAATTCATAAAATAAATAAATATTAATATAAATATAAAATGATATTAAATAAGATATTCTCCGACGTGACGTCGAGAGTGACCGACTGAAAGGGAACTGCTATTTTTAATTAATATTTCACAAAATAACCGCCTTTACTGTATTTTTGATCAGATAAATGCAGCTTTGGTGAGTATAATCACAGCAAGTACGATTTCAAGTAGAGTTAATAATAGAATTATCAGAAATGCTGTAGTTTTTCAGTCCGGAACAGGAAGAGGAACTGGACAGAATCTTGTGTTATAATAACTGAAGGATTGGATCTAGTATTAGTGTCATACAGACTATCTTTGTCTTCGTCAGTGTGTCTTTAAGCTGCCCAGTGAAACCACACACCTTCAGCACCTCTGCTCTGAGTTTCCATTGGGCTCCAGTCAACAAAACAAACACCAGCAGAGTGAGAGGGGCCCATTTCCTGTTTCTCACTTCCTGTCTTAACAGCTGCTGTTCATGTACACCTTCTGCCCACCACAGACTCTATTATCAGATGACACATGCTGATAGATCTTGACGAATTTAGACCGTAGATGAACTCGACTAACTAATTATGAAGAACCACAGAAGTTCTTGCAGAGTGAAACTTTCCAGACAAATATATATGTGTGTGTGTGTGTGTGTGTGTGCGTGTGTGTGTGTGTATATTATTACAATTTAAAATAGCTGTTTTCTATGTGAATATCTGTTAAACTGTAATTTATTTCTGTGATCAAAGCTGTATTTTCAGCATCATTACTCCAGTCTTCAGTGTCACGTGATCCTTCAGAAATCATTCTAATATGCTGATTTGCTGCTCAATTATTATAAATTATAAATGATGCTCAAATATTAATAATGGTCCTTATTATTATCATGTTTTTACATTACATTGTAAAGTATCCGTACCTTTAGGAGTAAAATGTGCTTAAATTTACATTAAAAATAATGTCACAATGCCAAAAATCTTATCATGGAAAAAAAAAATTCTCCCAAAAAAAATTATATATATATTCTAAATTCTACATATTTATGTATTACATTTTAAGTCCAATTTGTACATTTATGACCAGTTAGGCAATTGTAGATTTTACCCTAATTAAATAATGCCAATATATTCAAATAGTATTTATCAACATTTTGATACTATATTTTATTTGAAGGGATAATTTGATGTTTATGCACAACATATGTGTTCTTTGCTCCTCAACCAAATGAAAACATAAAAAATGCATTACACGGGAACAAATTACATTATGATTGTTTTCACGAGGACACGCATCTATAGCTACAGATTTGTTTTTAGAAAGAACTCTTTTCTGCTCACCAAGGCTGCATTTATTTGATTAAAAATACAGTAAAAATTGTGAAATATTATTTGATGTAAAATAGCTGTTTTCTATGTGAATGTGTGTTAACATGTAATTGATTTCTGTGATCTTTCAGCATCATTCCTCCTTGGTCTCTGCAGAGTCGCGGATGCGGATTCCCGTGTAATGCATTTTTTATGTTTTCATTTGGTTGAGGAGCAAAGAACACATATGTTGTGCATAAACATCAAATTATCCCTTCAAATAAAATATAGTATCAAAATGTTGATAAATACTATTTGAATATATTGGCATTATTTAATTAGGGTAAAATCTACAATTACCTAACTGGTCATAAATGTACAAACCATTACTCCTCCAGTCTTCAGTGTGACATGACTCACTCGTGGAGGACTGGACAGTGGAGTCGTGCTCGAGCTCGTCCTCCTCGATGCAGTCGTAGGGCCAGTGGCTCAGAGACGGATGAGACGGATGGAGGTGCAGGTTCAGAGAGGACGAGGACTGGCTGCTGGACGAGGACGAGCTGCTGTTGGAGATGGTGGAGTGCGGTCTCTTAAACGGCGTGGAGTGATCGAACGAGGACACCGCGATGGACGCCCGCATCCGCGACTCTGCAGAGACCAAGGATGGACAAAAATCACATGAACACATGAATTCAGCTGCAGGAGTGAATCAGTGAAACAATGAAGATGTGATGAACTGTAGAAGCTGCCAGTGTTGTTATTGTGTTTAACTAAAACTGTTGAAGAACCAACCTTTTTCATGAACTGGAATAAAGCTCTTTATGACAACACATAGTTAAATATTCATAAAGTTAAAAAACAAAAAAATCAGAATATGTTGGAAGAAATAATATTGTTTTGTTTGGTATATAGTTAGGCATAGTGCCATAAATTCAGTGCTGTTTATTCAAATAAATAAATACATACATACATATAGAAAGAAAGAAAGAAAGAAAGAAAGAAAGAAGCTGAATTAAAATATTAAAATTAGAAGAGAAACTTAAACTTAAAAATCTTAAACAAAAATTATAAATGTTGCTTTGGCAACCAACTGAAATAAAATAGGCATGATAATAGTAAAATAGATAAAAAATCATGAGAAAAATATTGTCCTTTCTTAAAAATAAGACATTTTAAAATAAAAAATTAGATTTATATCATTATACATATATTTAATATATAACATAATATAAATTAAACAAATAAATAATAATAATAAATAATAATAAAGTAATAGAATTTATATATATATATTT